GGTCGCTTGGCTGCCGTTTTTTGTCGTATCCCTGCTATGGCCGTTCCACCGTCCGAGCCTTCCCACCGGAGGTGACTTTGTTCACCTCATGGACTTTATCAAGTGGATGCATTACAGTAACAGTGCTGTCAACCCGGTCGTGTATGCTTACCGCAGCGAAGAAATAAGACGGAGACTGGTTGTGCTGGTAGCAAGAGCAACGGGTAGGAAGAGGGAAGAGATACCTGGGATAGCTCGACCAGGAAATAGACTTACCTAGATAGTACGAGACTGGGTTTGAATAATCACAAAAGAGAAGCAAAGTCGTTACGTTACGTGGCATGGTACCAAAATTTCTGGATATCAACGAACCGTGGTCCTGAAAATATGCCAGAAAAAAAGAACGAAATAATTGACACTGAGGTACAACTCTCTTGTCATGATTGCACTTAGGAACAAAACGATAGCCCGTATTCTCTTCCATCGTTCAACAATGCAAATGGTCGCCTCTGTCGAGAAAGGTTGTTGAGCTCCAGAACGTTTGTTAACTTACTAATGGCGTTTGTTCAAAATTTGTTCAAACATCAGACAATCTGAAAGAATTGGTAGTATTAACACGCTGTTTTCGAGCAAGCTAAAAATTTTTACTGACAGCTAACTGAAAACAAAAAAACAAAACAACAATCTGTGTACTATTATTCCAAGGTTGTAAAGTTGCCCACAAGTCGACAGCCTCTTTTGAGTGACGAAGTCCCTGGCCTGCCTGTGACTATACCAACACGGAAATTTAGAACTGAGTCCACTAAGATCGCTGTCTAGGAACATCACAGTTTATTTCGCTGCTTTGTCTGGCATCAAAAGACTACATACTTTAGAATGTAATGATCCACTCTAAGAGTCAGTCATGACTTGAAAGGATATTGTTTTAACATTTTGAGTTTGTGACCAATATCCTGTGATGTGCCCTTTCAAATTAATTTTTCTGAATTTTGGCTTTGTCCTGACTCTTTGAAGAAAGGTGTTTAAACGACAAAAAACTGAAACTTGATGAGAACTACAGACTTAATTACTCAAAATGATCTCTTTTCTTTGTAACAGCTTTTTCCTACTATCAGCTGTCACTGAAATGTATGGAACACATACACAAAAAAGAATTGGTATTCTGAATTTCAGGGTTAAAACTGAATGTTTACGAAGCGTTAGTCCCACAGAATGATTCGTAAACAACAGTGCATGCAAACGTTCTTAAATTTTGTTATGAACAACAAAGCAAATCTCGCAAGGTCTTCACCTCGTGAAATTCATCTCGCTTACCCTTCTTTTTTCAAAAAAAAATTTCTGACATCACTTCCTCACTTCTTAACGTTATAGAATAACTCATGGCTTAAAACATCGCAGCAGCACAGCTAAATTTGAAAAACATTTATCGAACATAAAAATATCGTACTCAGAAACCAATTATAAAAAACCTTGTGTCAATACAGCTTCATTAAAGGAAAAAGTTAGAAAAAGTCACGAATCCTATTGGCTGTTAATTGCAAACTGGTAAAAATCATTGATTATGGATCCGCGTTCGTTTTTTTCTGCAAGCGTGACATCTGCACGAAAACGAGACTAAAGGAAACGAAAACGAGTCCAAAGGAGTCCAGTTTCCTGCGGTCGAGATGCCCGAGCGACTAATTTGAATTCGCCCGTGATAGCTAGAAAATTTCCGCCTTTCTGCCTCAAGAACACCAGATTAGGATACGTTCTGACGAACACGATGAATATTGAATTTAAGTACTGTTTTAACATCCGGTAGCTAGCCAGTTAACTTGAACTAGCTTTACAACTCATGAAATCTGTATCGAAATTCATCTTCAAACAACTTCAACCCATTCCTAATGGGTAGTTCCTTTGTTTTTGTTTGTTTGCTTGTTTTTTCTCTGTTAGTTCGCCCTTGCACGAGAGGTTTTCCAACGGTAACTTCGGTTTCTTCGAGTCTCCTCGAAAACCAAATATTAATATAATCGGAATGTGGTAGACGAAGAACCATTTAATATAGCATGGTTGAATGCACAACGAGTAGAAGAAACCGCATTTATCATGCGAGAAAACAACGTCTCGGTAATGTTACAAGTGAAAAGAGCAGAGCAGGATGACTTCAAATTAAAATGAACTTTAATCCACCAAAGCTAGGGAGGAACAAAGTTAAAATTCATTTAAGTTCGGTAAGATGTCAAAACTAGAGGAAAAAGCTGGCGTCTTGCCTTGACGAGTTTGATAAAGCCACGCGGTAGCTCGCGACAGCAGCCAAACAATGGTAGGTCATAGCTACACCGTTTGTGATTGTGATATAACTGCGTAATTAATCACAAAACTTATCGAACTCAGTCTTCTTTGATTATTTCCTCTTCTTTTCTCCTAATGAAAGATTCAAAAGATTAAGTAAACCCTATTCAAAGCGGGGGAATCTTTTGAAATAATCAAGGTTCAGGCTATGACAGCCAGATTTCGCAACTTTACCTAAATTTACTTGGAAAAATTGTAAAGTTACCGTGACGTGTAGATCAACATTTAATGCTTCCATGGCAACGGATTTCCAGCAGCTGTATTTCACAAAATTTTCAATTTTCACTCTAATACGTTTTATTTCCAGATTTTAAGGTTGAATTTTTACCTCATACTTTCTTTATCAATAGTTTATTCAGTTTATAAAACCAATATGTTTTTAAGGATTTTTATTTTCATGACTAATTTGAGGAAAATACAAATTTAAGAAGACAAAATTACAGATCGGACATCTCTCTGAACTTATTAACTGGCAAATTTATTCATTTATTATGAACGTCCACGATTGTTTCTAGATACCTCGAAGCAAGTTGAAAAAAACCTCGACTGTGCCTCGTTTATTCACCCAGAAAAAACTAGAATAAATGGTCATAAATATGACGAGATCGTGCAAGATCTACCCATCTGTTTGAAATCTAAGGACAGAATTTTGTTTTCCAGCCGAATTAAATGGCTGCCCGAAATATTTCTCATGATGGGCTAAAATTTTACCTTCATTATATTGAACACAGCTGAGGGAAGGTTCAGAGAAGGCCTCAGCTAAGAATTGTCCGAAAAAACTCCTCAGAACCCCTCGTGAAAAAAAAAAAATTGTCAACAATGAAAAGCAACATATTGATATGACGTGCGAGTTTGATTTTTTTCTTCAAATATTTACAAAGAAAATGACAATTGTTTACTCAGACCATGAGGTCAGTTAATTAGCATTTTCCTCAAACTTGCTTCGAATAAATTTCACTTCACACATATCACACAAATCACCATTTTTTCGAGAAAAAAACCATTAAGTATCTTAAACATTAGAGAGGTCGAAAATTTCTCCTGTTGCGAGAAAGCTCTCAGTTATATATTTAGAAATTTTAATTAGAAAATCTTCGCAGTTGTTAAAAACTATTGTGTGCATAAACAAAAACGCGAGACAGCAGCACAGAGAGATTTAAGACTACTAGGGTTAGCTTAAAACATTTCTTACAATAGATGAAGAAGGAGGATCTGGGGTAAGGAAAGGGGTTCAAGAACAGCCAAGAATCTCCCCACCCCTTCTAGGTCAACCCCTGGTACTACGTGGATGTTTAACCCTTTAAGCCCTAAGAGTGATCAGCATCGAATTTCTCCTTGTAATATCACTGCTTTGTAAAGCAGAATGGACATGAGAATTGAGGACATGATCGACACACAAGACAATTCTTATTGATCCTTCAAGAAATTCTCCCCACTACTTCTATTGAAAACGTGTAGGGATAGCAAATGAGAATTTGAATTTTGATGTTAGGGATTAAAGGGTTAAGCAAATGGTTATTTGGGTAATGCATGAACAGTACCAATGAGCCTTAAAAATTATACGATCACCCCATAGCAATGTTAAAAGGAATCATACAACGGTCTAACCTCTTGACAACAGTCCGGTTAAGAGGTAAGCGGTCGTAGAAAAGACGTCGACAATGAAGATAGGTTAAACAAGAGTAACTGCCCGCCGGGACATATAAGAGGTTTGCCTGCAAATGCACGGTTTGAAATAGCAGGCATCTGAAGGCGATGCAGGAAAAACCGCCATAGAGTATGGCCCCAATCGCACTAAATGCAAGTTTCGAGACCGTCCTTTAATAAAATGAGAGCCTTCTATAGTAAAAGTATAAAAACTCTGTAAAACTTTGAGATTTTCAATCAATATTATATCCACTTCATGTCCTAGCTAATTTATTCCACTTAGCGCTTTAAGTTTTCATTTCATTAAATCTCATTGACAGATTTTTACGCAGGCAGCGTCAGTTTTTCTTCAGGGGTGTTCGCCAATGTTGAAATAGCAATACAAACATTTCACCTGCGGTGTATTTTGCCTCATTCTAATTTACACAAATCAGCTTGCTTTAGTTTGAAAACCACTGGATAAGAATTTGCAGCCTGAAAATATTTAGAAACTTCGCCGACCAAGAATTCCAAGCCTACGCGGAAAGTCAATGCAATAAAATGACATCCACTTAGCCATGTCCTGTAGTCTGTATCATTTCCGACGTGCTTATAGGTTTTAGAAGGGGAAGAGCGCTTTGATAGTTTAAACATGTTTTAAACATACGTCAAAACTCACATAAGTGGAGATACAGAGAACCAATCACTGTCATTTCGTAATTACCTCGAGAAAAAATATCGCCTTGGGTAAACGAAATTAGATGCCAAAGTTTTTCTGCTTATCAGGTTTACCTTAGAAGCATTCGCCATAAAACTCATCTAGTGGCCTGTCCATCCTAGTAAGTGAAAATATTGCTCCACACGTCAGAGGTTCAAGCTCATCCAAGGAAATTTCTTGTGACAAGACATCTACATAAGGCACAATAGAGACGAAGTTAAGTGAAAGGTATACCCTTAATTTCTTGTTGCTCTTGAATTAAGACTGATGTGAACTGAGCCAGGTGTTGTGTGGTAAGCCAAACCCTTACTGAGAGAATTTTCCTGATTTGCCACCGGGGTATCGGAATAAGAAATCAGAATTGCAAGTTGGTTTCTTAACAAGACCAAAGAAGCTTTTCAAGGAGGTAAGTTATTAAGTGTGTACTATTTACCTTGACCTCGTTCATCGCGAAGAATGGTCGCTACGAAAAACACTTAAAACTGCACGATCCCACCAAAAAATGAAATCATCAATTTTTAGCTTATTCTCTCAAAGGGGAAGTGTCTTACCGATAAAAAATCACATATATGGCTTCCTCAACATGAACGCTATATAGCTTCAAATCATGTAAAAATAAATTAACAGTGATTTTAAAGAGGAAAAAAAATGAAGTGTGTTTAATAGAGATAGCTAGAGCAATGAGAGCAGATTACACCTGTGCAGTTTTTATCAAGCTCTCCGTTGTAAACTTACATACAATAGCATTTTGGCCATTTTCTGATATTTTGAAAATCTTGTTTGGTATATTTACCGATTAAACTTACAGCCCGTAATGATAATTTTTCTCAAAACGTCCTGACAAAATAATAGCAATCCGCCATGTTCATATTACCAACAGAGCACAATTTATCGGTTGGAACCACGTTTTACCCTGTAAGTGAAAGTGTAGTAACTGAGTTCGCCCAAAGAAATTTTTGAAGTGGGTAAACCTTCATTTACCCCCAGCACTCTTGAACTCAATGTAATATGCAAATATGGCACTTATGAAATGAGGGTCTCTCTTTTTTTGTCGGTCTAACAGTCTGACTGAGGAATTCTGTCGACGTACGTAGTTTTAGAAGGGCCGGAAGAATGTCAGAATTTGGCAGATGCAAGACAGGATGCAAAAACTAATCTGTTATGTGAAAGAGAACTTTTTACATGCCCGTTAACACTATTTTTAAGTGGTGCTACTTTTCAGACAGCATGCACTCGTCCATAAAAGGGGGAGTGGAACTTTCTAAGTTTACAGTTCTATCCTCTCTAGCTTAAATAAAAACTGTGGCCACCGCAAGAACCCTAATCACGTAACGGTCGTATTCCTGCTCTTCAACTTCCTTATGTAAGGAAAAATGGGGGAAACGAAACTAACGAAACTAACTGTTGATACAATTATGAAAATACGCCGAATCAGGAGACCGTCCAGTTCTGTTTTTTGTTTTTCGTAAAGACTCATTTTTCCATACCCAAAATGAGTTGTGCGTTGTTAAGTACATCACGTTCCATTAGACTACTTACTGAATGGCTAACGATGAATATGTAAATTTCATTTAACGGAATGAAGAAATAAATGCAAAAAAACCGTCACAGCTATAGAGGCAACTTCCGCAGAGACCAAATTTTTTTCAGGCTTTTTTTCGCAACTCCATAAGTTGCGTCCATAACTTCGATGTTTGCCTAAGGGTAATGAAATGAAAGACAACAGCTAGAAAAATCGACGTAAACAAAAGAAAATGAACACAGATGACTATTTTACGGCTTTAACCTAAATCAAGTTTTAAACCCTTAAGATAAAAGGTGCAAGGTAAAAGCAGTGGCGATTTCAAGAACAGAGAAAAGAAACCCTGTCCTTAATTTTCCAAACCTTGCTTGAGAGGACTTAAGTGGGCAAATGCTGGCGAGTATTGGTGCATTTGTAAAGCTAATATTTTGACATGCTCTAAACGTCACGCTGACTGAGATGCAACCTGCGTATACCTTAACTGGTCCCTAAGTACTTAGAACACAAAGAAAACACGAATTTATCTTAAGCGATTCAAGAGGCATCTTGGTACCAAATCAAAAATTAAACGCGACTAAATTGAGAACCAGGCGTACGCATGATACTAGAGGTATTAAAACTGTTAACACAAGATTAGTTGCTAGACTGATTTTATTGTTCCTTTAGAGACCAAAGCCACAGCACGATATACCCACTGATCGATCGAAATGGATTTAGGCAAACTAATCATCAATCATATCTCGAAGTAAATACATGTACCCGCCACTAGCTGCCGCCAAGCAAGGGAAAATATGCAACCAACTTCACCGGCGAAAAATGTCTGATTGGTCGAGGTGCGACCACGTGACATAGATCTAAGCAAAGCGATTATTTCCTCGACATGATTCTGAAAAATTCATTTC